ATATATATATATATATATATATATATATATATATATATATATATATATATATATATATATATATATATATATATATATATATATATATATATGAATTATTAGTATTTAAACTAAAATTAATTTAAAAAAATAAAATAAAATTCAATAATTTATATAGTTTTAATAAAATTTCGATAATTTGGTTATTTACTGAACCAAACACGAAACTGTATGAATTTTGGCGTAATTTTACAGAATGAACGCTCCTAATTTTACCAATTAGACATATTTTTTTGCAAAATATTACATAGTTGGGGATGACTGTAATTATGGAAATAAGAGGAGTTTTTTTTCGTAGTTTGACCTTACATCAAAGGGTAGGCGTAATTTGCCCTTATTATAATTATAATGTGTACTATAATTAATATTTTCTTGATAATTTTGCTAGGTAAAAGTATTTCCGGAGAAAGTAATACTCTTTTGTGAAGTAGCTCCGCCGCATGGTGGAGAGACGCCCTTCATTCCTAGTTTTCGTGTAACGGAACGCATGCTTGAGGAGTTCCCCGAGTTTGTTGAAGAATTGGACAACAAGGGGCTCAAATACACCTTCAAAGTTCTTGGCAAGAAGGATTCATCTTCCACGAAAGGTCGAGGTTGGGAGAACGCCTTTGGAACATCAGATAAAGCCGAAGCAGAAAAGAAGTATGTGGATAGTAATCTCTCTCTCTGTGCATTTGATCCTAATTATTTCTAGATTCAAACCAACTTGAAAAATGACACAAATATCTTATGATTTCAATCGACACGCGACTCCATCTCATTGCTAACTAACTTCAAATACGAACGCAGAGCTAACGCATTAGGTTTTGGTGTGGAATGGCTACCGGAAGGTGGTGTAAAGACAATATTGGGACCACTGAGTTTGACAAGGGTGTTTGAAGAAAGAAAAGGGAGGAGAATGTGGTTCAACACCATGGTTGGGATGCACCGAAAGGAGGTGAGCAACGTTACGATGGCCGACGGTACAGAGATCCCCGAGGAAATCGTGAAGAGATGCTCCGAGATTTTGGAAGAGGAAAGCATACAATTCAAGTGGGAAAAGGGAGATGTTCTTTTCTTGGATAACTATGCTTTGCTTCATGGTAGAAGGCCTTCCCTTCCACCTAGAAAGGTCTTGGCTGCTTTATGCAAATAGATCACTACGTAGATTAAACAACTAGCTACCTCATGTATTGCTAAAGTTATCATTATATATATATATATATATATATATATATATATATATATATATATATATATATATATATATATATATATATATATATATATATATATATATATATATATATATACACTAGTTTACTATATTAAAATGTATTGGGTTGAACAATTACATGTGATCTTTGGCTATTAATTAATGTTCAGTGATGAGTATTTCGTTTCTCAATGCTTCATTAAGTTGTTTCGGATAGGAGCTTAGGATATAGGTTTTTTTTTTACAACACTTATTAGAATTAAATTACAAGCTAGCCAAACTAAATATTGGTTTCATATCCTTTATAAATTTCATTCAAACATGTCCTTCACACACATAAAAAAAATAAAATTTGCACTAATTAATATGTAAATTGTATTTATTATTTTTTATTCTGCATTTAATATTTTTATTTTTACATCTAGGATTTTTGTTATTATGTTTTTTAACGTAGAACACATATCTCTCTCTCTTATTTTTTCACTATTATAAAACTCTATTTTTCTCCTTTTTTTTTCTACATAATATTAAAATTATGAATTTAAATGAAACCCTAACTCCTCCTTTGAACTCTAGCCGCCAGATATCCATAAATACTCACAGACATCTATAGACATCAAATAAAAACATCTTAGATCTGGCCCACCAAATTCTAGATCCGCGGCGCCAAGGCCACCCACCCCCCCACGCCGCTAAGGACAAGCTTGATTTAAGAGTTCATATGCATAGTTAACCCGAATAATCTAAAGACCATCTTTGGAATGAGTAGTTTCAAGTCTGAGTAATTTCAAGTCCTAAGAAGTAGCTCAAATGACCAAGATCTTTCATTTCAAACTGTTGACTGAAAAAATTCTTCACCTCTTGAACTTCACTAGGATCATCACCAGTTATGATCATATCATCCACATATAGAATAAGTAAGATGGTGCATTTGTCAGTACGATGAAAAAATAAGACATAATCATAAGAACTGGTAGAATAACCAATCAAGACACAGTGGAGCTGAATTTGGCAAACCAGATTCACGGAGCTTGCTTAAGACCATAAAGAGCACGACGAAGATGACAAACCTTGTTAGGGGTCAACAAATAGTACAGGTGGAGGTTGCGTATAATGATCTTCGGACAATTATCCATTAAGAAATGCAATTTTAACATCCATATGGAATAGATCCCACTGGCCAGTGTTGGCCGAAAACCTACACGCAAGTGCACGTATCGTACAAGTAATATAGTGGACTAAAAGTCCGGATATCGAACCCACAGGGAATATTTAATTATCTAATCCTAGACGCTAAATTCTACCAATTATTATCAAGCCCACCCTACACAGTCGAATTTTAGAGAGAATTAACTAAATTAAACTAAATTAAAAGCAAGCAAAAACAAGAAAGCAATTTAAAACGAAGATTTAATCAAAGTAAACAAGCCTAGGATTTTATTCTTCCCCCTATGTGATTATTACTCCCCCAATTCCTTCAATTATGCAAGTTATTAACCCGAATTATTAACCTGAGATGCTAAAATAATCATAACCCGCTTCCGCGTGTATTACGATTCTAATACTCTAGATTCAATTACTATATTCCTATGCAATTAATTCTAGAACACAGCATTAAGCACAAATCTCAATAATGGCTACCTAAGAGATTAACTATATTCCTATGTTAATACCACAAAGGCTCTTTGTTAAGTGTATATTTTTACACTTTATCGTATCTGTTTATTTGAGCTTTTTGTGTGAATTAATGATAATTGGTGCTTAAAAAGATGATTTATTGTATTTTAGGTATAAATTGAAGAATTGGAAAAGTATGGGGTCAAAACTGCAAATTTGGAGAAAATATGGGCCAAAAGTGAAATAATCAAAAATATGCTGAAATTGGCTGAAAATAGGCCCGCACGGCCGTGCCAAAATTAGCCTATTTTTGGCACGGCCGTGCCAAATGCTGAATTTGGGCAGAAGGTCCGACGATTCTCGCGCGGCCGTGCGAGAATTGCACTGATTTTCGCGCGGCCGCGCCAACACACGCTGGACACAATTTTGGACTTTTAATCACACAAGGAAACCTAAAATCATCTACCAAGTTGGGGCATCTATTCAAGACCAAACCAAGCACGAATCAATAGACTTTTGGACACAACCTTGGAGCGAGATGAGCGAGAGAACGAAGAATCGAAGACGGAGAATTGACAACTCTTCATCATAATTCTTCTTTCACCTATCTTTTCCTAATCTATGACTTTTATTACTTTTATTATGTTTTTCGTTATGAGTAGCTAAGTTTTTAATCTAGGATTTTGTTGGAACCCTATGTGGGGATGGTGAACCCGTTTTCTTGAGATTATGCAATTATGATTTTATGATTATTTCTTCTACTTGTTATGATTGTTAGTGCATGAACCTGATCAATTTATGTGCTTTATTTGTGATTATTGGGATTGACTCGACAGAGCTATTTTGATAATTAGACGGTAAGTAGAAGAGCCTTCGAGTAGTTTTCACCGGATGAGTGTGTCAATTGCATGTGGTGTCGTAGACATACAGATATCACCTTAGGTAGCCATTTACGAGACTTGTTAGTTAATGCTTTATTTATAATTGGTTTGCGTAGACATATAGTGAATCATTTATGAATAATAGACTCGTAATACACGCGACAGCAGGTTATGAGTAAATTAGTGTCTCGGGTTAATAATCATGAATCATATATTTCATAATTGAGGGGTTTTGGGTGAGCAATTCTTGCATAGGGGGAAGATAAAATCCTAGGTCCGTTTTTAATTTATTGATATTTTCTCGTGTTTATTTGCTTTCATAATTAGTTTAATTATTTAGTTGATTATATTTGACATCTTTGCGTAGGCTGGATAAAAATCATAATTGTTAGAATTTGGTACTTAGGATTAGATAATTTACGTATTCCTTGTGGGATCGACATCCGACTCTCACGAGTCCACTTTTACTACTTGTTTGCGATATGTGCACTTGCGTGTTAGGTATTTAGCACCCAACATGTTTTTGGCGCCGTTGCCGGGGAATACGGCTAAATTATCTATTTATTCTAATATCAAATTTGAGCAATTTTTTTTACTTCAGCCATTTAATTTTAATTTTCTTTTTTTTTTTTTTTGGTTACATGTCTGGTTACAATATTGGGGCACCTCAAACGGGATATGAATGGCTTTCATCTGACGAATACCTCCAAAACACCTATGATATGCCTCCGCTTTGTTCCGCATGTGGTGGAAATCATTATTCCGATAAATGTTTGGGATCACCAAAAGCGACAAATCTCGTCGAAATTACCAACGGAAGTTATTGGAACACTTACACCAACACATACGAGCAAAATTTTCAGGACCAAGATTTGAACGAGTTTCAACATAGAGAGCCACAATTCGATGATCTTCAAAATTATTATCCATTGCAGCAACAAACCACTAATGACCAACCTGATTTGGTATCCATCATTGGCGAATTCATGAAGTCCACTCAAGCATCATTTCGAAACATGGAGATACAACTGGAAAAGATGACGCTCAAATTAAAATCTGAGTCGCTTGAAAATATTCCAGACGAAATCGGCAATGGTTACATCAAAGAAAATTCGGGTGAAGCCTGCGGTGAGAAAAATCTTCCATGTCCAGAAAATAGTGTCGATATGAGAGAAATAGAAATTACGAAGACACTTGAGCATGATGAATCTGAGAAGGCAATCGAGCTAAACCACGAAGATGCCTCAGAACAAGAGAAGAAGGAGATGGATGTAATGATTGAAGATATTCTAGTTGTGGACCCAGTCGTTGATCTAAATGTAGATTTGAAGGCATCAATAGAGGTTGATGAGAAGACGAATGTGTTTGAAGTGGAGGTTATACGCGGACATGAGGTTTTTGTGTACCGATTTGAGGGAGCAGGTGATGAAGATCCCATCTTAGCTTCATATCGATTGATTACAACCAAGAAAGACTACAAGCTAAGGTGGACCCTGATATATTGCAATGAAATCCATGCCTTGGTTGCAATTGAAGTGATAGAGCTCATGGATGGATGCGCAATCTACAAGGCTTTGGATTGGACATAACAGTTTTAAGAAGCAAAGTCTGGCTGAAGACTTAAAACTTAGCGCTTCTCGGGAGGCAACCCGAGCTTTACTGTTTTTCCTATTTTTCTTTAATTGTATGTTTTATTTTTATTTTCATAGGCATGCATTCTAATTAATTTATTTGATTTCTTATTTCTAAGGTCGGAATTGCGATCGGGACGGTCATCCGAGAGACATAGAGGTCATCTTCGCAAGAGGAAAATCAGATTTCTTTCCACAAATTCTCACACCCCGAAGACAACGATTCCGACTAAATCAGGTGTTTTCTATCCTTAAACTTTGTGCTAATTTCGTTGAGGGCAACGAAAATTTTAAGTTTGGGGGTGAAAAAAAACATGTTTTTTTGTGCTTATTTGTTTTAGTTTGCATGCATTAGGTTTTATTTATTTTTATTGCTTTTATCGTTTTTTTTAGGAATAAAAAAAAATAAAAGAAAAAATAATAATAATTGCTTGAGTCGAATGCTTCGATGAATCATGATGATGAAAGATGGTTGATGTTTAATGATGAAATTGCTTGCTTTATCTTGATTGTGATTGAATTTTGGTGAGCTTTTGATTCAAAGTGTCGTAGGAAGGAGTCATTGTTAGGAATCACGAATTATGCCTTGCTTTGGTTGAAAGTTTTGTGTTTTAAAACGTGGAATTAATTTATGCTATATCATATGATATTCGGTTTTAGAACTTGCCTTAGGAATTTACAAAAGTGAAATATTAAATTGTTGAGCAATTTGGGAAGTGATTTGGGCCATCTTTGAACCGTTTGAGCCTTTCAAGCCTACCTTTAAATTTTTATCATTCGAACCTTGATTGAGCCTTGGAGAAACGGTGAT